CTTGGCTAGTGGAGGACGAAGAATTAGGGATGTTATGGAAGGAATTTGGGACTTGTTCTCAAAGGAGCGTAAGTCCCCCAGACAAGTGATGGTCATTAGCAATTCAGGGAAAAGAGGACAAGCATATAACTTTAGAAGAGATGCGACAGTTACCCCAGTTAAAAGGCTAGATCTGAGATGAAATACATGGTGGAAATTTCTTAGAGAAAAAGGGGATAATATGACAGTTTGGGATGGAAAACCGGATTGGATGCTTGAACGCAGAGCACGACAGTTAGGGTACAAGGATCTTCCTCAGGAGCAAAATCCCAAGAGTCAGTCCAGGGAGGATAGAAAGGTTGCTCAATTGGATAGCCAGGAAGAAGCGGATTTATTGCAATGAGATAGCCAGGAGGGGGGTTGTTGCGCCTCACACTGCTTAATTCAGTCCTTATGTAATTCGGCACAAACTCACACAGACACGATGCCTTGTTGCCCAAACACTAGTGTGCATCCAGCTCTGCCTACTTGAAAACATGTAGCTTCCTTGAGTAAACCTTATCCTGTTTTTCTACTACTCTAGACTGTTTGTCTCCTTCCTTATGTGTACTTGTTATCTGGAAGCTGCTGCTATTTGTGAAGACTGAAGTAAAAAAGGCATTAAATTCTTCAGCCTTCCCTGCATCACCCATAACTAGAATGCCTTCTGCATTCTGGAAGGAACCTATGATTTCGTCCTCATATTGTTGACATACCTGTAGAATCCCATTTTATTGCCTTCTCACGTCCCTTGCCACTTGCATCTAAAATCATACCTTGGCTTTCTTAATTTTCTCTCTGCATGCCTGTGCAACACTCTTATATTCATTCTTAATACTATGACCAAGTTTCCACTTCTTACACGATACCTTTTGGAGTTTAAATTCATGGAAGATATTGCTGCTTAGCTAGGCTGGTCTCCTGTTATGCTTCCTCCACTGCATCAGGATAGCTTGTTTCTCCACCCTTAAAAGATCATCTTTAAAGAGCCAGCTCTCCTTTTCCCTTTGGATTTGCCTCTCAGGGGATCTAGATTAGCAGTTCCATGATTCTGTTAAAGTCTGCTTTTCTGAAGTTTTATTCTGCTGTTCTCCTTCCTTCCTCTCCTTAGAGATCTTGAATTCTATCATTTTTTGATCATTGTCACCCAAGTTACATTCCAACTTCACATTTGCAACCAATTCCTCCCTGTAGCATGTCAAGATGAGCATCTAACCCAGGTGGCCTCTCTGCCAACTGTACAAAAATTTATCCCAAACACTTGAAAAATCTGCTGAACTGTTTGTGCACTGTTGTGTTTCCCTCCCAGGAGATGTCCCAATAATAAAAAGTCCTCCATGAGAACCAGGTTCTGTAATTTGAAAGCTTCCACCAGTTGTTTAAAGAGGCCTTATTCATTTCCTCCTCCTGGTTTGCTGGCATGTGGCAGATGCCTACCTCTCACCTTTGCTCATAGGCTTTCAACAGGCCTGCCTTCTGCTTCACACTGCACCTCAGAACATGTGTTTTGCCTTTATATATAGGGCGACACTTCCTCCTTTTTTCCTTTGCCTATCCTTCCAGAATACGCTATACCCATTCACAACCTCACTCCAGTCACATGCTGCACCGGGTCCTGACACCACGCGACTGGCTGGGCAGCAGGAGCAGCCCCAGGGCCGGCAGGACCTGGCTGGGCTTGGCGCATGGTCCCCCCTACTGCTTCTGTGAAAGGTCAGTTACCGGCCCTGGGCGGTGGGGCTGGGGCTCTCCAGAGTGGAGCTGGCACCTGGGGCAGGGGGGCTGGGGCCCTGTGAAGGATTGGGGCTGTGGCCCTTCAGGGGCGAGCTGGGGCCTTGGGGGGGCCATGGGACCCACCCCTCCTGAGCAGCCCCCCACAAGGTCCCCCACCCCCACAGTCCCCCCAGCAATTGCCCCACACCTACCCACATATAAAACAG